TTCTGTGGCATTGCTTCACCATGATCTCTCCAGTTGAGGATAATAGAGCTGTTTTAAGTAAAAAAGGACCCAGCAATGATATGACATTTATTAGGGTCTCTGGGAAGTGGGAAGGTTTATAACAGGATGGCACAAGATAATGGATTTTTTTCACCGGTGTTTTGGAATACTCAAATAAATCAAGATTGTCTTGTTATATTTTATAGAAATATCAGTCAAAGGTGTTTATGTCAAGAAAGGAAAAAATAGTGATTTATTGAGTTTTCATATCCAGTTATCAGAGTCTGAGGCAGATACATAAATCTCTGTCTGCTCATGTTATTTAATTTTCTCAACCCACAACACAACACTCTGTGTGATTTATGTGTTTAATAGTGGAACTGACCGTTGGTGAAAGAGAAGGAAGAGACCTGTTATATCGAAGGTTTGGAAGGCAATAAAAAACGTAGTTGTTTGGGCTCGTTGAGAATATTCGAGGAAAGAACCATAGACTGGGTGGGCTTTGGAAAGCCAGGAAGAAATAAAGAGAGAATAGAAAAATGCAGGTGGTTTAAAAACTGCAGAGACTGGTGCAACATGTACACTTAAATGCAATCTCACACACTGCCTAATATGTTTCAGGAGGCCTGAAGCCAATTGCAGATTCATTTCTACTGTGGAGAGTTAAGCAGTATGTATGAAGACAGGACAGTTTCCAAACAGATACCACACACTGCAGTGAAATGAAGTGAGCCAACACGGAGCAGCATCTTAGAAACTCCTGTTATTGTTGTTATAGGCTGTGTTAAATAGCAGCACTATCAACGACCAGATTAAATACAGAACGCTCCTTTCCCAGAGGATCTCTAGCAGGATCCACAGACATGTGGGTCCTGCTAGAGAAACTACAGACATTTAATGCTGACACCTGTATACAGAGAGCTGTCTGGCAGACAAGGCCAGTAAAAGTCCCTAATCTCAGAGTAAATGTTTAGCAAGGAAACAGAAAGGAGAAAGAGAAAGGGGTGGGGTATAAAAGAAAAGGAGACAGCTGGTCTGGCAAACTTGAGGTCATTAAAGGAACAAACACACATGCACACACACTTCCATGTACAGTCTTATGTATCATTTGGGCTGCAGCTTGGTACATGCATTGAATACAGCTTGACTGATAAGATAAAGGGTCATTTCACCTACAGTCTGAAAATTTTCCCACTTTCCTCCTGTGGTGGTCTTGTGGTTTAATTTGTCCTGGTTTTAAAGGTAGCCGTCGCTCCGATTTCTGCCTATATTCCAATATGACAAGTGTTCTTAGAATTTTTATGTGGTGCTCACTTCAACTCATACTGTCAACAACACGGCTGCATTTATTCACTAGTGAGCCCCTGGGAAAAAGTGAGCAGTGCCCCTGCCCACCCCTCTCACCCACCCTCTCGACATGCATACTTTGCCTCCCCGGCACACGATATCAGTTAGTTTGTGGGTTAAAAACAAAACTAAACTAAACTAAATGAAAAGGACATGCATAACAAGAAACCAGAACCACACGTGGGACTGTTGAAGGTTGTATATAAGCAAAGTCTGGTCTATTGTTAGCATGTTTGCTGAGACTGATGGAAATGTCATTTGTTTATTAGATACTGGGTCAAATATCAGTAATCTTGGAAATTTTACCATGATGATGGTGCTAGATGAAAAGACTGGTGATCACCAAAGTTATTCAAAGGAATCCGGAGCTGAACTTGAACAATTTAATGGCAATCCATCCAGTAGTTGAAAAGGTGTTTCACAAAAAACCCAAATATCAATCTCATGCTGCTGCTAAAGTTGGGGGATCACCAAAGTCAGTAGGATTCATTCTCAGGGAAACATGTCTGTTCCAAATTTCACTTCAATAATTTAATGGCAGACTTTAACACAAATATTGAACAGTGAATTTGCTCTGTGGTTGAAACCAATATGTACAATAACCTGGCAGTCATACAGTCAGCAATCATCCCAGTGGAATGGATTCTAAAACTGAGCTCTTGCTGTTGGGATTGGCGGTGAGGATGGAAATGACTGGGTGACCAAAGTATAGTGATGAGAAAATATTACTAATACCAGAGGAAAAAAATATCCTGCATACTTTTACCTTTACTAAAAAATAGACAATAAATTGAAAAGCTTGATCCCTGAACATTATGAAACATTTAGCTACATAGCATGCCTACCCATCACCCACATATCAGCTGCTAAATGGGCAATAATATGCATTTAATTTGACACTTTGGGGCATCGGTCCAGTATTTACAAAAAAGATTGACACCAGACCTGCCAGATGCATCATTTTTGTTAAAAGGCTGTGGGAAGTAAACATGCAGAAGTGCCAAACTTCAAACTAACAAAGCAGTAAAACTATCATTATGAATGGCTTGTTATGTTCAACTATGTGTCTGTGCAGGACTATAACAATGGGGAAAACAACACTGTGATATATGGAGAGGACTCAAGACTTGTTTAGTGACTTGACTTCAACACAGGCCTGCAGAAAAGTTCGCTGTGCAAGGCATGTTACAGCTACTGTGGAGCCTTCGGCCATAATGTTCTTCATCAGCAGACTGAGGTGAGATTGCTTTGCATACTGTGTTCTTCTTTCTTGTCAAGCGTTTCATTCATGCTTCACCACCAACCATGCTTGTTCATCGCTAACTACTCTGCTCTACAATACCGCCAAAATAATTATAACTGAGACCACATTTACAGTAATAACTGGGTTACACAGCCAATGGTGGGTCATTGGGACAAACACCCACCATTGGCTGCGTGAGCTGTACTATCAGGCCCTAACCTGGTTTGAAAAAGTGACATGTTGCAAAACAAAATCAGATGATTCTTTGATTACCTGCTCTAACCAAGGAAGCCTTGTGGAACCCTCCATTTTCTGGGTGGACACTCTCATACATATATTAGCTCTGTCATTTTCTCCTCTCAAAATCACCCTGAATCACCACCTCCTTTCCAAAACACTGCTGTTTATTGTCCAAAATTATGCCAGAGCTCTTGACTTGCTGTCGTCATCTTAACCGCCTTGCACTCCCATTCCACTTAACTCCATAAATACAGCAAGCACAGAGAGAGATGGAGAGGGAGAGGTTTTCTCTTTTGTGACTTTTGTTGTGATAAAGCGCAGCTTTTGCTTGAGGAGAAGCTGATGTTAAACAGTCAACTTATGTTAAAATATATTGTTAAAAAGGTCAAAGCAACTAATTTCTCACTTTCATCGTCAGGATAAAAACCTAAGGATAGTTTTTATTTCAGTATAAAATGTTAAGAGTCTGGGAATAGGAAAAAGCATTTGATAAAATAGTCCTAACTCAGTGTCCACTTACTTGTTTTTATTGGAGCTTTAAACCAATTTGACTGCCTTTCAGCAAATGACCACTGAACCACTTTTATGACTAACTTAGCCTACTTTGACAGCTTGGACAACTGAGTCAACTTTGAATTTGTTCAGCTGTCAGTATCCACTGATAAAGATTGTGTGATCTGGATGCATGTAAAACTGCACTGAACATGAGCTAATGTCCTCAAAAAGTCAGCAATCAGCAGGTATGAGCTGATTTTCAGAAGCCTTGGACCTATTGAGATGTTGGAACACTACACTCCTCTATCAGTCTTCTTCAGTGTATGACAGTTCATTTGCTTCCTTTATCTATGTGCTTGTTTTCTGTGAGTGAATGGGAAGTACAGTACTGGGCAATCATCTTAGGCTATCATTAGTTTTGCTGTTTTAGCAACATTGTAATGATAATTTATATTTATTTCTCACTCTTTATTAAGATGTAACCAGAAAATACAGGAAATATGCATACAATATTAAAAACAAAAAAAGGGTTCTACAGTCCAAAGTCAGTATTTAGTGTGACCTCCCTTTGCACTTAGTACAGCTTGAAATCGTCTGGGGAGACTGTCTTACAAGTCTTGACCCATGACAGACCCTCCACCATGTTTACACACAATAACAACCCTCAGAGCATGTGGTGGGGTATTAAAACCATAACAGTCTATAAATGTAGCAGTCCACAAATCAACAGGACAGTACACTCCCTGACACCTTGAACCAGTTCTTTGATACTTGATTCTGTCTATTTTTGAGTACTTGGAATTCATTTATCAGGATGTGTATGCGGTGCTTGTTTTCATGGTGTTATGTTGTTTGTTCTCTATTGCTGCTTGAGGTACTGAAATTTGTTTATCAAGATATGTGTGTGGTGTTTGTTTCTCATGGTGTTATGTTGTTTGTTCTCCATTGCTGCTGAAACACTGAAATTTCCCCATTGAGGGATCAATAAATTACCTACCTACCTGCATATACAGCCCTGTCTCACCTGGAGTATCCAGACATGTATGTCCAGATGCTCTTCATTGACTTCAGCTCTGCCTTCAATATGGTAGCCTCCCATAAACTGATACACAAACTCAGAAACCTGAGATTAACCACCTCACTCT